GCTACTAGGGGCTCCTGGCATCGCTACTAGGAGCAAGGACGCTACTATGAATATAAGTAACCCTAATTTTGCAGATTTCCACTCTCAAGGACCCAAGTTCTCGTCGTTCCAGGCCTTTGCAGATTAAGGGTACACTGTGGGCTTAGAGTGTAATAACTCTGTGTGTGTGTATATACATATACACACATGTAAAGATATTTGCCTGGTACCCGGTATTCTTGGATTCACAACTCATGGCTTCCATGCTGTACCCTCGCAACTATGCCCAACTCACTGAGGTTTGGTGACATTTTCTCTTCCTTCTACTTCAGCACCATCGCCCTCTCCACGGTCGGCTTTGGGGACATTGCCCCGCTGACGCCCCAGGGCCGCACAGTGCCTTGGCAGCAGGAATCGCAAATGGAGATCCCCCGGTCGTGTAGAATAGGGGTATAGAATAGCTACTAGGAGCAAAGGGCATCGCTACTAGTAACAAGGACGTTATTAGGGGCTCCTGGCATCGCTACTAGGAACAAGGACGCTACTAGGAGCAAAGGTTTGGACGATCTATTCTACACCCTCCCAAGGGCCTCTGGGAGTGAACATTCCCAGATTCTTTCAAGCAAATGAGTTAGGAAGAACACTGGGAGCTGGAAGTAGTATGAAGTAGTGACCTTTTGGTGCTTACAGGCTTACAGGTATTCATCCTTTTGACAGCATGCCTAGGCTTAAGGCGTGTGCTAAACCAACGTTCGAGACGCTCCCAGCTCTGAAACATCCTCCCACGCGACCCCCAAAGCCCTTCCTCTCATTCCTTTGACGACTTGACCCCAGGTGTTTCTTGGACGGAGCTAAAAAGGTACCAACGAACAGACAGCAAAAGGCTACAGTCAGAAGTCTTAAGATATATATATATATATATACACACATATTCTTGAAGAGTTTCATTGCTGCAACCTCAAAACGAACAGTTGAAGCTGTTTAGTTTAGTATCCATGGCTGGGTAGCACCATTCAAGAACGCCACCTGACCTGTTCAGACCTCACCAACCCTCGTTGCAGCAAAAGATCAACAGGTCATCACTGTATCTGTGATCGTGGGCCTTTGCTTGATCCCCTCAGAGGCGTGGCCATGTGGCCTCGTGTGCCCTGCTGTAAATTGAGCACAAGCCAAAGACATGTTAGTTTTCCAAAAAATCTAGGAACCAAATCATTACTGCGAGCGCTTCTTCCGGGAAGCTCCCCCACCCTCAGGCGGTGGGAGCTTCGTTGAAGAAGCGTGAGCTATCCTGCATCCACATGTAGCATCTCAGCAGCTAGGAGCGAACAAGTTTGTCCCTTAATTAAGTAGGCGGGCTAAAAAAGAACGGGCCTATGAATAGAACCTCTCGTGTTATCCTCCACATCTCCTGGGTAGTTTGAGCACTTCCGAGCCGACGCGGCAGGCTTCACTGGTGGTTGGGGAGCCTAGCGGCTAAGCGTGCTTGGTGTCGCCACCAGGGCGCGCCTTCGGGCACCCGGCGAAGTCTTAAGGCCGCGGCCATTTCGGAGGAGCAGCGCTTGCTGGATGAGAAGGAGGTCAGCTGGTTCCGAGACACCAATTTTCTGCAACACTATGTCATCACTATGTCACATAGTGTATCAGCAAGTCTTGCAGGGTTTGCCTTTGACTTGCTGAGTGCTTTCAAAAGAACCAGTGCCAGAGCGCAAGGCTCGAAGTCAGACTTGTGCAGGTTTTGTCTTTTCTGTCCTTTCTTGATCAGCCGAAGCACACCATGCCGGACATCTCCAAATCCGACATCTCACCCAACCTGGACCGCGACAAGATGTTCAACGAGCTTTGGTGGTTGAACTATTGTTTCTGCGAAGGGGTTGGCATCGGTGCAGTTGGCAATCCATTCTTTGGAGGAGAGGCTGTTAATATTTGCTTGCACTCCAAATGTACCTTGGCTGCTTTCCGTCGATCCACCAGCTTTTTCATGTTTTGTCTAATCAAGGCTGCCTTTGCTTTACCCATTTTCCGAAAGCAAGACATACTCCTGCATGTTTTGATATTGGCAAACACCACCTTCTACTTCGGTTGCTTGATCATCCGAGCTGTGTGAACAAGGTGAGATGACTGACATCGGGGATCCCTTCTGCTCCAACATCCGCGTTTGCCTATGCCTCACGGATCAATGCTCTCTTCCCCCAGCGCCGGGCTCCCCCATCTGCGTTTGCTTCAACAAGAAGCTTGCAGGTGATGATGGTTGGAGTGGACAGCAACTCTTCGACTGGAGCACGAACTTTGGAGACACATTCTGGCTCTACTACATTTTCTGCATGGGTCTGGGATTCTCTGCTCCTCAAGCCAATGGCCGTCCGTTCTTTGCTGTGCAGACGAAGGAACTGTGCATCAAGGGTGGAACCAAGCTGGCTATGCCGATGGAGGGTGGAAAGCTGTGTTCCGCTGTGAGCACTCGCCTGTGCTTCTGGGATCAATGTGCTATGCCGCCAGCTGAGGGGGCTCCCATGTTTGTGTGCTTCAACTTGCTGAACCCCAAGTCAGGGGCAAAGCCACTGGCCTATGGATCTTAGATTGTGGCTACGTCAAAGCTGGGACTTCAAGACAGGTCCTTTTTTTAGGCTGCCTTGGTCGAACACCACTGTATTGGCTGAATACGCCTCTCACAGTGCCCGACCCAGCGGCAGCTTCGCACCACAGTAACTGCCTTTCTGAGGGGTTTGATTTGGGTCAGCCCTGAGGAAGCTGAGGCGATCCTTGAAAAGCAGAATCAATCCAGTCATGCAAAGTCTTAAAGCAACAGCTAGCACTTCATGGTTCTTACAGACTTGCATGTTTCGCTTCCTATTGTCATCTGTCCAGGCAGAGATCGAACTGGTGTGCACCTCAAGCTCTCGCAATTCTTGTCCGACTTGTATCTCAAGTACGCACCTTCCAGTTGCATCACAAGACCTGTCCTTCACCAATGAAACCGTAAAATTTGGCACTACTATCGTAGTGGACAAAGTCAGTCGTTTGTCATAGCGGTATGGCGGATCACCAGATCAATTCTGTGAGCTCTACTTGCAACTTCACCGCAACGCCACCCGCCGGCCGCGGGGTGTGATGTATCAGTTTTGTCTTCTCGGAAGATACTAATGACGTCAGATTTCATCAACGTGGTCTCCTCACATAGTCTTCTCTTAGACAACTAGTAAGAAGGACGCTATTAGTAACAGAGGACATCGCTACTAATTAGTAACAAGGACGCTACTAGTAGCTCCTGGCGTCGCTACTAGGAGCAAGAAGCTACTAGTAGCTCCATCCTCCCCAAATGCCCTGATTGGAGAGTTCTTGCTGCCTAGGCGGAAGCGGAACGAGCCGAAGCACAGCTAGCCTGGGTCGGTGAGCCAAGAGCAAACGAGTTGTAATCTTAAAGATCGTTTCACCCGTGTAAGTTTGTATTCTTCGTGGACTAGGCTGGACCTTATTTGTATTTGCTCGGTCACCTTTTCAGCCTGACACACTTTGAATTGAACATAAACACATGATGCCCCACAAGTTGGTTTGGTTGAGTTGCATGTGTGTCACGGAGTAGTGCATTAGCAAAGAACCCAGTTTTCTTCTTTTGCGTAGGTCCCTGCATGGAATACGGATGCTCACCCCCTCTGACAATGTATTGGATTAAAGGGTGCCATGGTTGAAAGGACATCAAAGGGAAAATGGACATGTAGGGTTGGCCGCTACTCTCGCAGGACGTCCTGCTCACTTTTGTATCCGCAGCAAAAGTTCAATCAATCTATCAACTATCAACCCATCTAGGTATCGACAAAATAGGAAAGAATATAATGACAATCAAGAGAAGACAACAGCAATGTCTAGTGCAGCTCATGCACATTTCCCAGTCCCAGTCGCCTAATTACTCAATTAAGTAAGGAGGCAGGGCCACGGGCAAATTTTTTGTTTCCAGGTCCCATGTGTCTACCAGTGACGCAGGGACGACGACCGCTGAGGGCGCGGCTCGGATTGCGGAGCTGGAAGATTTGACCAGGGAAGAGAGAGCCCGCGCTTTGTCTTGCAATGGGGAACGGAAAAAGGTTCCAGTTGGAAGGGCAGAGTAACAACCAGATTCTTTTTGGGCAAAAGGCTTGTGATAGAATATGTGGAAAGTTTGATCCAGGCAATGAAAGCTACAGTAACTTAAAGCTCCGATGCTTGTTCTGCCCTGTAAAGCTTGAGGCGTTGACGAGCTGGAGGAGCCTGTAGACGTTGAGACGCCGGCAGAAACAACGACGGCTTGAAACTGCCTGCTACGATTTTGCTTCAGAGGAGCAGGCAAAGTCTTGGAGCCAAGATCGTGGGAAGCTGACCTGAGAGTAGAGGAATAGCTGGGGTAAACCAAGAAAAAAAGATGAACAAAGGAAGGTAAAGCCTCTTGAAAGGGGCCTTACCTTCCTTTATCATTCTGTCCTTCCTTTGCTTTTATTCAAGACAGACAGGAGTTGCATTAAACACGACCCTGTGTATTTTGCTCGGCCTTCACTCCAGTGCAAACCTGTGTGGCCCTCCGTCTTGAGGCAATCAGTCGGCCGTGTCAAGCGAATCCCGATGAGGGATGGACTTGATGCAGAGCGCCGGAGTGAACAAAGAGAACACGGAGCCATCTACCAGTAACAAGGGCATCGCTATAGGGGCTCCTGGCATCGCTACTAGGAGCAAGGACGCTACTATGGGCTCCTGGCCTTACTACTAGTAACAAGAAGCTACTAGTAACAAGTGCATCGCGACTAGTAACAAGAAGCTATTTGTTACTAGTTACTAGTCAAGACTTGTTGACAATGAGAGCTCATGCAGTGAAGGTTGGACCAATCTAGTGCAATTTAAGGGCTCATGTCAAAAGTCAAGACTTATGACAATGAGGCCTCAGGCAACCCATTTAGGTTTCCACCAGTGAAGGGCCCATCAAAGCAAGAGAACTCATGCAGTCCAGGTCTCATCTTCTGAATGGCCAAAGTTGATGCAATCCAGTTGAGGCTTCAACCAAAATAGAACATATCTGGAAAGAAATCCTGAGGGTTTTAACTGTTGGAAACTTCATTGTTAAGCAAAGGATTTCTCCAGGATTTCCAAGGGATTTCCTTAGACTGGTTTCAGGGGTTCATAGATTGAAGAATACCCCTTTTGAAGAATGTCCCAATGTCGCACAATGATAGTAGTAATGCACTTGTTTCTAGTAGCGATGCACTTGCTACTGGTAGCAATGCACTCGTTGCTAGGCCTCTTTGCACCATTGTGTGCAAACATGAGAAGCAATTGAGCTACTACATTAGTAGAGTCGAGCCTGGTGCCCCTGAAGATGCTGTTGTGGCTTAGGAGGTTCCAGCATGACAGCAAAACGCCTCACGCCCATGCGACTTTCACGTGAGCAGAAGCCATTAAATACTACATAATGTCGCAAGAACTGCTTGACCTCGCTGTAGAAAGACCACCAGTAACTCGAAGAGCACCCTTGAGTAGACTGTAGCTTACAGCTGCTGAAGTTGCTGCAAAGTGCTGAACACGGTTCTCTTCAGCGTCTTCACCCTCAAGAGGTGCCATGGGTGCAAGGACCTCAGAGTTTTGGTCGAGCTTCGTGGAGCTTGGTGAAGAGAACGCATGGCGTTGCGTGGATCTGAGGCCTCTGTGTGTCATGGAGATTCCTTTTGTGGTCTTGGAGGCTGGAGAAAGCCACATGAAGACTTGCCAAAAGTCCCGTGCAAGTTTTCATGAACAGATGACAACAATTCTTTTGCGGACGGGATATTCAAAACTTCCGTAAGAAGCGGCACGCAAGATTTTACGCCACTTCACCATGCTAGAAAAAACCGCTAGATTGGCGCTAGATTGTCATACCCAGGAGTACCTTTGGTAGAAAGAATGCCTTGATGGGTCTCAGAGGGCATGTGTTTATGTGTTTATGTGTTTATTGAAAAGACCCAGCGCCACTAGGAGGCTAGCATTTCAAGGAAAGATGCTGGAAGGGATTTCATGCTGCAGAGATTTGCTGGCATGCAGTGGTAATTTAGCACTTGATCCGCGCTAGCACGGTGCTAGCAGGAATTAACCAGAATTGTCCCGTAAAGGCCACCTGCCTTTCAAGGTGCGGGTTTGACAACTTGTAACCGACATGCCCTTGGAAACAACAGTGCAAGCAAGAAAGCAGCTCTTCCGGTGGCACAGAAGGGTTGGTGGTGGCTTGTTTTGCTGAGAGTGGTGAAACTTTCTCGATAAACATGGTCAAAAACCACGTCTGGAGAGCAGATTGGGCTTGTACTTATATTTGCGATAATGAAGCTGCACGCATGGAATTGCGATTTAGCACCGCATATGAGAACAGCCATATTGACAAGCCACCACATCCGTGCAGACGAGGCTTCTTTTTGCTTGTGGTCTCCGGGCCAGTTGTGTCAATACAGACCTGGACAGAAGTTCTTCCTGCCTTGTTGATCTCTCCAACTTGCTGACTTTGGATCACTTGCGGAGGGTGTGATTTGGAGGTGGTTTTCCCTCCATATTATGGGGCGACCTTTTTGGGGATTGACTCCTAAGGTATCTCTTTGTCCCCCATGGTGGCCCATGGTCTCGTGTTTCACGCGAGGAACGACGCAACAGAATGAGATGAGACCGAAATCCTCGAGGAAAGACTTCTACGAGACCTCTGGCACCCCCAAGGTGGGACGAAAGGAGTCGGGAGGTCTTTGGCATGCAAAGGCATGGATAAGATCGAGATGCCTCTACAGTTTGGAAGGTATCAATGTTTGTTCAAGCCAAGCGACAGCTGAAACAATATGATTATGTATGTATATACAGTATTATATGTACTGTAAGTCGATTGAGGGCTGGAAGCAGAGCTGAAGCAGAGAGTTTGGAGCGTTGGTTGGTTTGATTTGTTTTTAGGTGTCGGACCTCACCTTATCAGCTTTGCAGAGAAATTAAGAAATCAGTGAGTTGGTGCATCACCCTACGACACAGAACTGGGGTGATTCGAGGGCTTTGATTGTTGATGGTAGCGTAAACTTGCGAAGTGGTGCTGCTGTAGGATACAAGCCTTCCTGGTCATGAACGAACATGGTCTCAAGTCAATCGAAAGGCTTTGGTGGCCTCTAGGCAGACTATGGTAGACTACTACATTTTGTCACCCTCAAACCCTCAAAAGAGAACATCGGCACAAAGATCCACTCAAAGCTCGATGTGTTGGTTGGCGAAACCAAACAGGTCCCCGGTGCCATTTCTTTTGGTCCATCGGGGACAGACCACGATGGACCACGATGGAGTGGAAAACCGCATCTAGTGCCTTGGGCACTTCGTACCTCCATCTGTGTGAACCGACCTGGCACAGGGTTTTCACTTGCAAACCAATTTTTTGAAGCAACGCACATTTTGGGGCCACAGTGGCCATGGACGTCCTTGAAGACCGACCGAAACGCAGGTCTTTGGTGGCGCTGCTGGTGCTGACGGGGCAGTGATCCCGCTCGAGTTCTTGCCGTGACGGAAGATTTGAACCCCATTGTAAAACATTTTATTTTCATTTCGGGGGACAGAAGATCCCGAGACCGTATTAAAATTTGTCAGCACTCGTCTGCGATGGGATGTTCATGCTGCTTCTTCCCAAGCTGGCCATTTTTGTGACACCAACTCTGGGAGACGTTCACACTTCAGGTGATTGAATTGATTCTGTTGTCCTGTATATATAGATCCAGGAAAGGCCGCAAAGGCCTCATTTCTGTTCATGTCTTGATAGAAAATGCATGT